CGGAGGCAATTCTTGTCGCCCCAGGCCCGCTGCTGCAGGCACCTCCCTTCCCTCATAGGCCTGAAACGGCGATTTCCTGCGTCCCACCCCAGCAGCCTGCCGGGATGCAGCCAGCCCTGCTTCCCTCCCTGCTCCCTCCCATCCCATCCCATCCCTCCTCCCAGCAGAAATCCCTGCACAGGATTCGTTGCTGCAGCATTTGCTGCACAGCATGAGGTGCTGGCACCCCAAACCTCACTCACAAGACAATGCCCACAGCAGGACAGGTCAGGTCCAGCTGCCAGAAATCCCCCGTGGGATTTGTGGGTCTGGGACAGACACAAGCAGGATGATTGGGATGGGTCTGTGCTCAGGCCAGGTCCCATCTCACCCATCTCCCACAAATACTGAAGCAAAGCGCTGTTGGTGCCACACCATGTGTCTCACTTTACCTAGTTCACACTGTGCTGAACACAGGCATTTTCAGGGTGTGCAAACCAGCTCCCCTCTCCAGCACTGCTTCTCCTGTGGGCTGAGGTCTCATGTTTGATTCCGCTCCTCCTTCGTGGCTTGGGACTTATATGAGATGGAAGGAAGTCATAAGGGGTCCAGTGATGGAAAGAGGGGTTGCCTCTTTGCCCCCATCCTGCAAGCTTGTCCTCCCTGCATCCTCTCCCCAGTGAGGCTGGGTATCACACTGGGTACAGAGATGGGGACCAGCCAGGCAGAGCCCTCTCCCCATCCCAGGATGGGGGCAACTCAGCAGACCCCAGCCTGGCCCCTCTCCAGGATCCTGGGGGACTGATGCTGGAGTATGGGGGGCTCTGGAGAGACATACAGCTGTGGGTGGGCCAGAGAGGGCTGGAAACTGGGGGAAGCTGGGAAGGGACTGGGAAGGGACTTCGGGGGGATGGAGAGGAGAGGATTGGGGAAGGAATGGGGTGCTGTGGTTTATGGAGGGAGGCAGAGGAAGTGGGGGCACCAGGCATATTGGCTGTAGGGGGTATAATGTAAGAGTATTTTGGGGGGTTCCCCTGCCCACTGCGGCTGGAGGGTCCATGGCTGGGGGGTGCCTGGGGCACAGGGAGCCCATGGCCCGCGGGGGGGGGGAGGCAGCGGGGCCGGGCCGGGCCGGGCTGCGGCGGGGCCGCCCCGAGGCGAGGCGGAGCCGACGGCCGCGCCCGGAGGGGAGCGCGGCGGGGACGGAGCGGCCCCGGAGGATGGGGCGTGCGGAGGCAGGTGAGGTCCGGCCGGGCTCCCCGGGCCGTGGGGGAGAGCGCAGCTCCGGGGGTCGCTCGCTGCCCCTGGGAGCCGCGGGACGTCGGGTGTGAGACAGCCCCGGGCTGGCGGGGAGCGGCGGCGGGGACCCGGGTGCCTTCCATGGGATGGAGCTGGGGGGGGGGAAGCGTGTTCAATCCGGTGTGGGCTGGAGCTACGGGAGCGGGAGAACCGGTCCCGCAGCGGGGTCACCCGTCCGTCCACTCTGCTGTCCCCGCAGGTGCTGGGCTGGGGACCGTGTCGCTGTGGGGCAGCCTCCTGCTCGCTGCCGGCCTTACCCTCGACCCAGCACCGCAAAGCTGCAACTGCACGGAGCCCATGGACTTCCAGGCGTTCCGGGAAGCTCCGCTTAACGAGAGCTGCTGCCTCAACTTCACCAGCTCCAACATCACCCACCTGGACTGGGGAGCACTGGTAGGGGTGCAGGGGCTGCGGGAGCTCTACCTCTCGCACTGCAGCATCACAGATATCAGCAATGCACAAGGAGTCCCCCCTGCCTTGGAGATCTTGCACTTAAGTCACAACCTGCTGGAAAGACTCCCTGGAAGCTTTCTGGAAGATGCCCCTAATTTGAGGGTCCTTTACCTGGACAGCAACCAGCTCCAGGAGCTGCCCAGGTCCTTCCTGAAAGCATCCAACCAGGTCCAGGAGGTCTACTTGGGCTTCAATGCCCTGACCTTCCTTCCCACCAGCCTCCTGAAGCCGTCTCTGCTCCATCTCCAGCTCTCCAACAATAGCTGGGACTGCAGCTGTGCTTTGCTCAGCACCCTGGAGGGTTGGCCCAGCCTGGCCGCTGAGGTTATCTGCCACACACCGGAGCGCTTCCACGGTGTGGACCTCCAGAGCATCCCCCGGGATGAGCTGTGCCGCTCCCTCAGCCTCACCGCCCTCTTCATCTGCCTGCCCCCTCTCCTCATCCTCGCCATCGTCACCTGGTGCTTCTGCAGGCAGAAGAGAAAGACCAACTACAGCTTTCAGAGCAGGCCCCAGAGCCACCTGGCCACAGCAGAGAGGGGCAACGCACCGGTGCCTGCAGAGCCCCACCACTATGTCCCCTACGATCTGCCTGCTGCCCCCTCTGAGACTGAGAAGAAGGTGCTGCTGGGGAGCCAAGTCATGCTCCAGCCCTCTGTGGATGCACTGGACAGCAGCAGGGACCTCTATGAGGAGGTGGAGATCCAGGTGGGATCCCCTAGCAGGTCCCAGATGCCAACCTATGAAGGGCAGTGGGTTACGGGGCTGGGCAGGCAGCAGGATACCCCATCCCCGAGGGCAGAGGAGCTGGGGGCCAGCGAGCCAGAGGTGGATACTGTCAGTGTGAGTGAGGTCCTGAAGGACTCAGCTGACCGGGAGAAGATCTACATGAGTCAGTCCACCAACTATTACAACCTTGTACCCGGCATCGAGCTGGAGGACTCGGACAACGTGGAGTATGAGAACATCGACCTACACTGATGATGGATGGCACTTGAGCTGTGTCTGGGATACAGCAGTGTGGAAGAGGACAGCCAGTGGTGAAAGCCAGCACAGCAGAAGAGCCACGAGCTGTCCTGCCATGGCTTACAGTGGCTGCTTGCAAAGCTGCACTCCAAATCCCCATCCCTTCCCCTGTGCTACCATGTGCACCCCTCGCTTGCCGTGTGTTACAGCTCAGCAAGGGGTGTGAGAACACAGCACAGGCTGGCGGTGTTTGGGGATGCACAGGCTGGCAGTGCCCGAGGAAGGACATGAAGAGGAGGTGGGGGCTGGTTTTGGGGATGAGGTGACAATACTGTGAGTGCCAGACTCACTGACGGGGGCCTCCATCCTCTCTTGCTGGAGCCAAACGGGATTTGGCATGGACTTAACTGCTCCCCAGCCTGCAGAGAACAGGGTCTGGGGACATGAAATGGGGCTGGCTGTGCCTCCATGGTCTGTTGGGGAGCATCATGCACGGTTGGGTGCCCTGGCATGGCAGAGAGAGCCTGGGGTTGCCCTGCCTGCTGCACACCCCACATCCTGCAGTGTCCCATGGGGGCTAGAAACAGCTGGTGCATGTGTGCTGCTGCTTGCATGGGTGTGCACGCACACACGTGTGCAGGGACTCTGCACAGTTAGCTGTGAGTGGGTGTGCAGGGTGCACATGCACACAGGGAAGCAGTGGAGGGGGCCCCTTGCAGCATCCCCTGCTCAATGTGCTCCCAACCCATGTAGGATCCAGCTCTCAGTAAGAAATAAATCATTTTACTCCTGGCAGTGCGGCTCCATCCCTGTGTTTGTGTGGTGGGGAGCCATCTGATGGAGGGAAGTGCAGGGATGGGGGGCTTTGCTCCCACACCATCTACCCTCCCATGCCTTGTGTGATGCTCCAGTGTGGGTCTCATCCAGACGCCCCGGGGCCACTTTGCCAACAGAGCTGGACCCTGGCTGAGGACGAGCAGAGCCTCTGCCTTGTGCAGTGATTTACAGGTGGGAAAGGTGTCAGCCTGCTGTAAACGCTGCAGTTCCTGGCCAGAGCAGGGACTTGTGGGGCTCCTGGGAACGGGGCAAAGGCTGGGGATGCTGTAAATCACCCCCCTGCACAGGCACTCCCCAGCAAGTCTCACCCATGGGTGCCTCAGCCCTTCCCTGGGGACGGGGGGGATGCAGGTGCCCTTGGGTACATTTCCCAGGCTGGAAGCCCCAGCAGCCTCCCTGCACCGCACTGGAGCAAGCCTGAGCCCGGGGCGGGCGCTGTGCCCGGGCAGGAAGGGAGGGAGCCGGGCAGGGCAGGACGCGGCGCTCCGGCCGGCAAAGGAAGCGGCGCTTCCTGCAGCGCACAGCGCGGCCTCCTGCAGCCCACGGAGGGACGAGGCAAGGCGCGGGCAGTGCTCAGCACCAGTGCGGGCTGGGCATGAGGATGCGGTGGTTTCCCTGCGTGTCCCGCTGTCACTTATGGATGGTTACTGCTGGTTTACATCCCGCTGGAACTGTTCCCTTCCCTCCCATTCCGCAGCCCTGGGAAAGTGGCCCAGTGCCAGCCTTTAATATCTCTCCATCACCCCCTGTCACGTACTGCAGCCACAGCATCCCGGTGTGCCCTGCCTTGTGCCGTTCCCAAGGGACTTGGAGAGACCAGGAGGTTCCTCAGTGCCATGCAGGACAGGCAGGACTCAGCCAGCCCTCCCCAGGGGCTGCAGCCTGGACACGGCCACAGGCACTGCCTGTAGCTGGCAGCAAGGACTCAGGCAGTGATGGGCACATTTTTCACCCATGCTCCAGACACATCCCCAGCCCTCCCTGTGCTGGCTCTGCCTGCACATCCCAGGGTCCCATTCCCAGGGCAATGCAACCCTTGGTCCTTTCCTCTTGCCATGGAGCCTAAATTCAGCTGCCATGGCTGCAAAGGGGAACGACCCAAACCACGCCAGAGTCCTGCCCATCTCTGTCTCTGATGCCCCCAGCTCCCACTGCAATCTCCAGCCATGGGTGGTGTCAGGGAGGTGTGACCGACCTGGAGTTCCCTGTTCCCTGCCTCTGACAACCCCAATCCATCATGGGGAGGGCTCGGCTGTGTGGGCCCATGCTGGGGTATTTAGGGGAAGAGGCAGCAGCACTGGGCAGGGTTGCTGTATGGGCAAACCTGCTGATGGGCCATAGAGCTTGGGGTGGGAGCAAGTGCATGTGCCCAGGCCCTGCAGCGTGGACAGTGTTGGGAACCCCAGTTCTCCTCAGTTTAGCCAGCAGCCACTGAGGGAAGGTGCGAGGTGCAGGGCTGAGCTGCAATGACCGTCTCCTACACACTGAAAGTGGCCAACTCCCGCTTTGGAGGTTTCTCCAAGCTGCTCTTCCGCTGGAAGGGCAGCATCTACAAGCTGCTGTACAAGGAGTTCATCGTCTTCGTGGTGCTGTACACCATGCTCAGCATCATCTACCGGTGAGCAGGGTCGGAGTGGTGGTTGTGTCTGCTCCGTGCTGACCCACTGGGGTGTGCAGGGATGCCCCATTGGTCACAGACTGGGGTCCCTGCAGGGAGGGGAAAAGCACAATGGATGTCTCCAGGGAAGCTGGGGTTGGGCAGGGGAGGGCAAGCAGAATGGGCATCAGGCGATGGTTTTTCATAGAGGTCCGAGGCAGAGCCCCAGCCCCACCACTTGCGCCTGACCCCACTGCATGTCCCTGACCCCACTGCATGTCCCTGACCCCACTGCATGTCCCTGACCCCACTGCATGTCTCTGACCCCACTGCATGTCCCTGACCCTGCTCCATGTCCCTGACCCACTGTGATTCTGTTGCAGGCAGCTGCTGACCAAGGAGCAGAAGCGCCTCTATACCAAAGTGGCTCAATATTGCAATCGCTCCACGGACCTCATCCCCATGTCTTTTGTCCTAGGTATGGGACCCTCCCCTGTACACGGGAGTTGGGCTCCCCTGCTCCCCCCTGGTGATGGTGGCTTAAAACACATCCTAACCCCACACCAAAACATCCTTTGGACACCATTGGTTGGGGGATGTTGGAACCTGGCACCCCAGAGGGGGCACCTGGCTTCCAAACCCACCAACCACAGCTCCCTGGCCCAGGGATGCCAGTGGGAGGCTGTGATTTCCCTTGGCATGCCCTGCACCCTCCTCCCCCTGCCCAGGAAAGGAACACCTTATCTACAACACATAGAATCATAGAATGGTTTGGGTTGGAAAGGACCTTAGGATCATCTAGTTCCAATGCCCCTGACATGGGCAGTGGCACCTCACACTAGCCCACGTCACCCAAGGCTCTGTCCAACCTGGCCTTGAACACTGCCCTGGCCTTGAACACATGCCCTGAGCCACCTGCATCCAGGATAAGGAAGAGACAGGGCCATCCCCACCTCCATCCAGGATAAGGAAGAGCCAGGGCCATCCCCACCTCCATCCATGGGAAGGGCAGCCCAGTGGGAAGCGTGATGTGCGCTTTATCTCCTGGCTACAGATAAATCTATCACTGGTGGAAACATGGCAGCTCTCCCGGCATGGGCTTATCCTCACCTCATCCCATTGCCCTGAGCCCCACGTGCTGTCTGTCGGTGCAGGTTTTTATGTGACCCTGATCGTGAACCGGTGGTGGGCCCAGTACACCAGCATCCCCCTGCCCGACCAGCTCATGTGCGTCATCTCCAGCAACGTCCACGGCAAGGACGAGAGGGGCCGGATCCTGCGGCGCACCCTCATCCGCTACGCCAACCTGTCAGCAGTGCTCATCCTGCGCTCCATCAGCACCAGGGTGCTCAAGAGCTTCCCCACCATGGACCATGTGGTGGAAGCGGGTGAGGACTTAAACCCTGGGGTAATGGTTTGTAATGTGGCGTGAGGGTTGGGGTCCACAGACATGTCCCTGTCACCAGGAGGGTGTGCTGGGGATCCTTACAAGCATCCCTGTCCTAAACAGTCCCACACACAGGGTGGCACTCTTGCATGGATACTCGATGCCAAGGAGCCCCATGTCCTATCTGCCCAGAGCCTGTCTCCTGGTGCTTTAGTTTCACCTGGAAAAGACTGTGTCCCATTGGGGACAATCCCCAAAAGGGCTTTCCCCCACTGACATGGGAGCCTCTTCTCTGCCACAGGTTTCATGACACAGGATGAGCACAAGAAGTTTGAGAGCCTCCACTCTGACTTCAACAAGTACTGGATCCCCTGCGTGTGGTTCACCAATCTGGCTGCCCAGGCCAGGCGGGATGGCCGCATCCGTGATGACGTGGCCCTCCGCCTGCTCATGGATGTGAGTTGGCACCAGGGATGCGGGAAGGACCAGGTTCTGTGAAGGGCTCACACAAAGCCCTGGTCATACTTGTCCTCTCTGCCCAGGAGCTGAATCTCTACCGGGCCAAGTGCAGCATGCTGTTCCATTACGACTGGATCAGCATCCCCTTGGTGTACACACAGGTGGGTACCCATGCACCCCATGGACACCAGGAGCTCAGATCCCAGCTCCTTCCACCCCACAATGGCAGAGGAGCCCCTCAGCCTCCTCCCTCCACTCTGATGGGGAGCACTTTACTCCCCTATTTAATTGCGTGGCACAGACACTGGTTCACAGCCCTGAGGGATGTGCAGGAGCCCAGGTTTTGCTTTAACCTGATGAGAGCATCAGTGACCGGCTGAGCTCCTGTATCCTCACTTCTGTGCCAAACATCCCTGCTGGCTTCCACCCTCACCGTGGCTGACCCTTGCTCCTTGCAGGTGGTCACCATCGCTGTCTACTCCTTCTTTGCCTTCTGCCTCATCGGGCGGCAGTTCCTGGAGCCACTAGAGCCAGGGCAGGAGGGGGACCTGGACATGTACATCCCCCTCTCCACCCTCCTCCAATTCTTCTTCTATGCTGGCTGGCTGAAGGTGAGACATGGACAGGCTTTGCTTTTTGGGTTGAGGTGGCCCTAAGCACCCCATGTCACTGCTGGCTACCCCTGGGGACACATCCTTTGTCCCAGCCATCACACTGGGGCACCATGGAGCTCCAGATCTGCATATTTCATGTGCCCCATGGGTGGACCAAGAGAGTACCATGGGAAGGTGTCCCTGTCCTTGCTTCCCTGGCCCCCTTCCTCCACAGGTTGCAGAGCAGATCATTAACCCCTTTGGAGAAGACGATGATGACTTTGAGACCAACAAGCTGATAGATAGGAACCTGCAGGTGGGTCCTGCCCTAGCTTACGCTGTGTGTGGCTGCTGAAATCAGGGCAAAGGGAGCTCCCTGTCCACAAGAACAGCTTCTGGACACACACATCCTTGTCCACAGTAGATCCCCATGCAGGGAAGCAGGACTGCATCTTGTCCTTCCATCCCTGTCCCTGTGTGTATCTACTCCCCATGGCTGAATCAGCACCCCCAAGGGACACTCAGCAGCCTGGCACTGCTGCTCAGCCCCTCACTTCTATGAACAGCATTCAGAAGAGGAAAACCCCAAATGCAGCCAAGAGATGGGCACGGAGCCTCTCTTACCCCTTGCAGAGCCCAGCCCTACCCCTGCCAGGTTGGCACGAGGAGCAGCATCTGCATCCCTCATGTCCTCGCAAAGCCACCCCTGCCCCATGCCTTTGCTGTGCCCAGGTGTCCCTGCTCTCGGTGGATGACATGTACCAGAACCTGCCCCCGGCTGTGAAGGACAAATACTGGAATGAATCCACAGCTCAGCCCCCTTACACCACAGCCACAGCCGCTGAGACCTTGAAGCCCTCATTCCTGGGCTCCACCTTTGACATGTGGTGAGTGAATGGGGATGGAGAAGAAGGGTTAGTGCTTCAGTGTGGCAACAGCACAAACAGGTTGTCCACCCGAGCCCTATTATAGTGATCAAACAGCAAATCCCCCGTTGGAACGCATTGCCCAGCCCCTGCAGGATGCACTGGGCGATGGATGTGCTGCTGGGGCAGGGATATGGCCTCCTGGGGCTGCTCCCTGCATTGGGATGGAGGCAGCGAGTGGTGCTGCGGAGGATGGCAGCCTGTCCCCATCATCCTGCAGCATGTGTGAGGACACGGAGCAGAGCCAGCCCATGGAGGCCTCGCCGGCTGTGCCGTGCATCCAGACACCCCTCCTCAGCCAGTTCTTCACTGCTGCATCCCCCACCATCAGCATCAAACACTTGGGCCGGGGCCCCCGAGGTCACCCCCGCCTGCAGTGGCCCCAGGGGGATGATGGCTTCCCCTCCCCACATCCCAGCTGTGCCGCGGACCCTGAGGCTGTGGCCTGCATTGAGGAGGAGATGGAGGATGAGAGCCGGGCCAGTGAGCCCACCATGGCTGGTGGGAACAAGCCACTGGAAGCCTCTGAAGTACAGAGGAAAGAGCTGCCACTGGTCCAGGTGAAGGCACCATCCTGCGACGGCACTGGGGCTGACCAACAAGAGGCTTGGGAGCACCAAGGCTGCCCCAAAAGCGTCCCTTTTCCTGAAGCAGAATAGCTGCCCCCAATGCAAGGTACTCCTCAGACACCCCCTTCAGATTCCCTGTCCAGAAGCAGGGCATTGCTACCCAGCCCTGAGCCAAGATGTGTTCCCAGGTTGATGGGAAATTCCTGGTGGGTTTGGGATAACAGCCTTCAATACTCGCTGTTAGCCCCAAAACTGGAGGATTCACCCCCTCTGGGTGATGATGCTCCCAGCTTGCTGGCCAGGCTCACTCCCTGCTCCCATGGCAGGGGATGGGGACAACCGATACCACAAGGAAGGGATGGGATGAGGACAATCAGTCTTGCAGAAAACCAACACTGTGATGGATATGTCCCCTTAACACTAATAAAGTCATTGCCAGCCTCAGCTTTGAGTTTCTTCCTTGTTGGTATAAGTCACCCCCAGCAGTGAGACAGCAGGGACACTGCATTTATCCACAAAGTGGGTGAACTGGATTTTATCCATTTTATTTTTGTATTTAATGTGCTTATATTTACGTACATTCTTCTGTGGCAAAAGGGGCACAGCCCCAAGGACTGACAGCAGTGATGGTTGTGGGGTATTAGACCAAGTGATACCGTCAGAAAAAAACCCAGATTGATGCTTTCGGCCCTTGTAGAAGGATTCCTGAGCTCAGAAACGTGTGTTTCTCCTGAGAATATCAGCAGAGCTGTCAAAGAATTCCCTTTCCTGTAAGCCTCCCTTTCCAAAAGCCACTTTACCTTTAAAGCTCCCATTTTCCCACAGCAAACCAGCCTCAATGCTCTTTTGCTACCCTCCAGGCTACTGCTGGATTAGTTAAAGGGTAACTATGAGGTTATTTTCTGGGTCAGACCATGTCTTGTGAAAATACCCCCAAGTTAATACTGTGTGGAGCTGAGCGAGCCACTCATCAGCAAGGAGCAGCGCTCAGGATGACGAGTGACCTCACATGGGTTACGCTGCTGGTTGCTTATTGTGTAACTCAGCCCCCACAGGTATTTGCAGAAGTGGGCAAGGTCCTTAGATCAGGCTTTGCCACCTCGTAAACCCAGCCAGACTAAAGCTGTGCTTAACCCCAGTGCATCTCTTCCTGGCTCAGTGCACGGCAGGTTTGCCTCCTCCCAGGTGGGTAAATCCCTGTGCACATCCATGGGACTATGCCAAGGCCAAACCAGAAGCCATACATCCTGTGGTCAAACCACACAGCCTGTACCACTGTGGGAGCAAGCTGCCACCATCCCATTCCTGTGTCACACCTACAGCACGGCTGGAGCAGGGAATAGGTGCTGCTTTCATTCCCACAGGCTCCTGCCCTTGGCAGCTGTGTTTTTCAGAGCAATAACTTCATAAGCAGCGTGCACTGATGAATTAGTCATAATCCTGCTCATCAGGAGACAGGTTTACAGCTCCTGCACTGACATGGAGTTGGCATTTGCTCCGTAAGCATCAGTTTCTCCATCTGTACAAAGTCCTGCAGAAACACCCTGAATCCTGTTTGTGTTCTATGGAGGGGAGAGAAGAAACACACTCAGAGGAAGCAGTCGTGACACATCCCCCTTAAGCGCCCTTTATCGCCTCTGCCCCACCTCTCTGGAAAGCAGGCGTTGCTGGAGAGCAGGGAAAGTTTACCCCAGATCACTATGGAGAAGGAATGTGGTTGTGCAAGCTTCCCACCCAGCCCAGGTCCCGCTGCCAGCACTCCAAAGGCATTGCTGGGCATGGCTCTGCTGTCAGTGCCCACAGCAGCACAGATCCAAGCCACATGTGCCCACCATGGCATAACCATGCTGCTGCGGCCACCCAGGAAACAGGTAGCTTGCTGGTGTGGTGTGTGTCTCCATCTTCAGACCGGACCCACCCTCGGCTTCCTGCCAGCAAGGCAGGATGAACTCAAGCTGCTAGGGACACCTCGGCTCGCCAGCACCTCCTGCTGCCACACACAGCAGCTGGGGCACAAAACCATACATAAAAAATACCAAGCACAAGCTCTTTGGGGAGCAGATAGTCTGCATTTTAAGGCACTAGAGACATGGGTCTCACCATAGGGCAGAGTGCTGGGTCTTGCACTTGGGCCACACCTGGGGCTGATTGATGGCTGCTGAACATGAGCCAGACTGTGCCCAGGCAGCCAACAGCATCCTGGCCTGTATCAACAACAGTGTGGCCAGCAGCAAGGCAGTGATCATTCCCCTTTACTCTGCATTGGTGAGGCCACACCTCAAATCCCATGTTCAGTTCTGGGCCCCTCACTGCAAGATATACTGAGCTGCCAGAGCAGGTCTAGAGAAAGGCAACAAAGCTGGTGAAGGGTCTGGAGCACAGGTCTGACAAGGAACAACTGAAGGAACTGGGGTTGTTTAGTCTGGAAAAGGCTCAGGGGGAACCTTATCACTCTACAGCTCCTTAAAAGGAGGATGGAGGGGAGGCAGCTGGTCTCTTCTCCCAAGTAACAAGCAATAGGACAAGAGGTAACAGCCTCAAGTTGCACCAGGGAAGATTTAGATTGGACATTAGGGAACAATTTCTTCCCCAAAAGAGCAACCAGGCATTGGAACAGGCTGCCCAGTGAGATGGTGGAATCACCATTGCTGTGTTCAAAAACCGTGTACATGAGGCCCTTCAGTGACATGGTTTAGTGGTGGACTTGGCAATCCTGAGGTAATCGCTGGACTTGATCTTGGTCTTTTCCAACCTAGCTATGATTTCAAAGCTGAAAATGGTGAAGCTGGGGCTGCAGGCAGCCTGCCTTACACCGTAACATTCCTACAGATAAGTAAGGTTTCTGTAATATACAAGCAGTGTGAAGCATGCAATGCGCACATTCCGCACTCTTAAGATGTGTGAGCCTGGCCTTTCCCTGCAGCCCCAGGATCAGCCTTTTAGATGGGCTCCCAACTTCACCCTGATACCTGCACAAATCATTCTGCAATTAGATGCAGGACTCCATCGTGCCAGCTTTCGTTAAAGACATCAATTCCAAGGAATGACACTGCAGGCACCAAAACATCCAGGACAGCTTTTGTTCATCGCTGCTTTCCAATCCCGGCACAAGCGACAGGGCTCAAAGCTGGAGGTTGTACCCAGCTTTCGAAAGGGACAGACCATGGCGAGAGCCTGGCCCTTCTGCTAGAAGGAGTTTCTCTTGCACAGCAATGAGACCAAGGAGGTCAGGGAAAGGCCAGTTGGTCACTGAGCAGTGCAGCAAGTGTGGTTAAAAGACCCTCCCCTCTTGAGGCAGCAGGGCCCGATCCCTCACTGACCCCACTCCAAAACCCCCAAGCATCCATGTGCTGACCTACACAACAGGAAAAGGGGGGTACACATGCCGTGGCAGTGCCCCATGGACATTTACACCTTCCTCCTGTTTGCAGGTTTCCAGTAATGGAAATCCTCTACTTGTCCAAGTCTGACAGCTCTTCCACACCCACTTGGTCCATGAAGTCACTGTCCTAGAACCCAGGGAAATGTTTCAGTTGAGAGCATGCAGGGTCAGAGCTCGCCTTAAGACACACAGGCACTCAGGGATTCCAGGAGAGACCCTTCTTCTTTCCATTTTACAGGCAGGAGGAGCTACACAAGCCCCCTCCACCCTGCCCTAACAAAATGAGCACGCAACCCTTTACTGTAGGGCAGACTCTTGGTTTTATTCGTTCTCTCAGCAGAACAGTTTTTATTCATTTGCCTTTTCTGGCCTTGATCTTCCTCAAGTAGAACTCCAATTCCTTGCCCTCCAACACGTAGCCATCAGCTCGGCCACACTGTCCAGGTCTGGAGGCAATGCAGGCTGCAAGGAGAAGTCATCAGTTAAGTTTAACACTTCACCACCCCAGCAGACACACCAGCTGCAGGAAGCACTGCATGCAGTCTTCGTGCAAAAGCAGGGACCAGAAAGTTACCAGCAATGGATACACCAGTTCCTGTTCTGGCTTCAGTACCACCCCCTAAGGTACCAACCGTGCTCCTGAACCTGCTCTGCTAGGCAGAGCTCCTAATGAAGTCCTCTTCAGATCTCCAAACTGTCATCGCTCAAGTTCAGTAGCAGAACTGGACAAAGGTCTCATCACCAGAAGACTTCAGAACACAGAATTATTTCTGTCTGAACTCAAACCTGGTCAAAGCTGTTCTGACTGCAGGACATTTTTCTGACAGTGCAGCCCGTGGGTCTTTTCACTTGTTTTGCAAGTCTCAAGCCCTATTATTTTCCTCAAAGGCCAACTAGGAGCCCAGCTGGGAATGTTGCCATTCAAGCTCCAGAAATAGATTTTCCCCTCTTGACAAAATCAACGTGTTTCCAGAGAAGGTAAAAGAAAAGACCCAAAAGATACTCCTGAAGATAAAGGGAACACCCTGCTGCCTTAACCCTGCAGTCAGCTTTATCATAGCAAGTACAACTTTAAACAATCCAAAGATGAGGAATAAGACCTGCTCTGGTACCCCGATTCCCTTATCCCCATCCACATTAAGCTGCTGGGGACTCACCAAGCAGTTTTCCTTGCTGGAACTGCTCCTCAAGAATACTTGCAATCTTGGCATTCTTCTTTCGCTCGTCGTATTTTTTCTGGATCTTCTTTGAGCGCTTCTTGTTCAAGATTTCCTCCTCTTCAGGAGTCTAAAAACAAGGCCATAAGCAAAGACAAGGTTAAACATATGGCCAACTTCTGCTAATGCAGGTGGTCCCCACAAATACAAAGGAGACCCTTGTATTCTCAGCCTGTACTGTTCCACAAGTCATAGCTGGCAGAGGCACAAACAGCTCACCCTCACAGAACCAGGTGCTGTGTTTCTTTTCAGGCTAAGAAATGTGATGTTGCTCACTAAAGTCACTGCTGACAAGGCACAGTGCCCTAGGGAAGGGTGCTCTTAAGACTAAATGGAATTGCAAAGGTTTTCTTCATGAATTAATCGTCCTCCAAAAAGAAGCAAATGCTCTTTCCCTCTGCAGACATAATGGGAGCACCTGGGTGTGGTGTGAATCCAGGCAGACAGGTTATGAGCTATCCCAGTGCTGCTGAACTACTCAGTGCCCAGTTAAGAAGTACTGTGCTCTAAATGCAAGGAGACAGCCGTAAGCTGAGTGCTGCACATGGAGGTTTGAGCAACTCCTGTAAGTCTGGGATTTGGATCTTCAACAAATTACAATGAGTCTGGACAATTTAAAGCCAGTTAAAACAGTGCTGAAGTTCAGTTAGCAATCCACAAGCTTCTCATCAAAGCCATCATTTCCCAGCACAAGGACCTGACCTGCAAAGTCTCCCTCAGCATTGTAAGTGTCATCGCTCTCCTTTCAGTAGCAGAACTGGACAAGGGTATCATCATTAGAAGACCAAAGAGATTGACAGGCAGGTCCTTGTGCACAAACGGGTGCAATGCCTAAGACAGCTCTGTGGTACTGGGCACGGATGGGAACATAGCCCAGATAACCAATGCTGTCACTGACAGGAACCCAATCCTCATCTGTCAGGCACTGCCTGCTCACCACAGCTAACTGCCTCTTCCCAGGCAGACTGCAGTCTGCAAGGAGGCCAGATGACAATCCAGACATACCAGTTTGGCACCCTTCTTGCGTCCGAGGGGCAAGGCATAGTGGGCTTCATACCACTGCCGGTATGGGGTGCTGTCAACCAGCACGATGCAGTTCTTCACCAGGGTCTTTGTCCGCACCAGTTCGTTGTTGGAAGCATTGTAGACGACATCGATGATTCTGGTTTTGCGAGTGCAGCCTTTCAAAAGAAGAGTATGAATTCAAACCTACAGGGATCAGACAACTGAGAATACAGTCCACATCTCACACTCATCACCCCACCAAACATTCCCCAACTTCCCTGGCACTGAATTAAACTTGACTAAGTAAAATGCATTTATTTTTCATCAGTCCAACTTCCTGTTGTTGCTAGAAATAGAAATCCATTCATTCCAGGATGAAACACTGGCATCTGTGGCCTTGCTGGAGCTCATCTCAAATAAAACTAAGCAATTGTAAGAACTAAATTTCTGGACTGGAAAATGCCTCAGCAGAGGCCAACTAACCCCATACACCGGGCTCAACCCTGTTTGTCCTTACTAGAATTACTGACTTAAGCTGTGTTGAATGGAACTGCTCTGCAACACATACTAGAAACTGGTTTTATAGGTTGAGGGTTTGGGTTAATTGAGAAGGGAAACTGGTGGTTTCACCTTTTAAGACCCACTTGATGCAGTCATTCTTAGCTACTAGACTTGAATGTTTAGAAGTTGCCTGCCTTGAAGATACAGCCCTGCATATGTGCAAAAGTCAGGCACAAGGCAGGTTTTCTCCCATTCACTCATGTACCTCATCCTTGTTCTGCAAGGAACACTCAGGTCTCTTTGCTTCTGCTGTACTGCCTATGAGCAACAGCACTTTTCACTGTTCAGACAATGCTTCGTGCTGACAAAGGAAAAAACATCCTTTCACCCTTACACCACGCTGGCCACTGAAACACCACCTTTCTTACTCCCGGTTTGACCATCATACTGAGTAAATCTGAACAGGCCAGGCTCACTTACCTTACAGCAGACCCCCCTGTTGCTTCAGCGCTTCCCACTTTTGCTTAGCAAAGCAAGAATATGAATTAAACTGCATGTGTTGATGTAACATTGTTCCAGGGGAGAGCCTTCTCAGAAAAAATCCTCAACACCTTACTCTATACTCTATGATCACCTAACTTTTAGCAAGTGCTCATCAATAAACAAAAAGAAAATTGCATTTATGAAGAACTTATTGTATTTAGGTGTTTTGCTCCTCTGGCCAATAAAAAGGTAATGCAAGCATGTCACTCAGTGTAACTATGACACTCCTATCATGGTGAATTTAGAAGACATTCAAGTCTCCTAAAGCCACGTAAGGTCAAAGTTATCATCACTATGCATGCTGTTTCAGACCCAGCACTGCACACTCCATGATCTTCAAACCCAGCCTAAAAATCCATGCTCACACTATTGTCCCTCTATTCTGCAGCAGTACCAAAAACCAGCACAGCCGTAGGAGACTTTCCCTTACCAACACATCAGGTTCATGGTGTACTTACATTCCGATCCCCAGGAGAAGTTGCCAACATCCAACCGTAGGGCACGGTACTTCTTATTTCCACCACGAACTCTCACTGTATGAATCCGGCGAGGACCAATCTACAGTGGGAAACAAACACCAGGGTGGTGTTGCTGCTGGAACGCTGCACAGCCCATGCAAAAGCCCAGCCAACTTCTAACCTCAAAGGCAATCTGGTCAGTGTAACTATGACAAACCCCAGCACTGGCAGATACAATAAATGACCAAAACGGTCTGTTGCATCTACCTAAGGTGAAAGTTTCATCACTCCAATTGCCTCTTAGTGCAAAAATACATTGCTGCTTTTCACTGACATGGGGAAAATACTACCTTTTAAAGGAGAGACAAACATTTAACAAGTCACAAAACACAGTATATACTTAAGTCTCTAACAGCACACAACCAGCAACCTAAGTCTGAAAGCACAATTACTGATCACCACCCCTCTAATCACCCACCTTCGTGTTGGCAGGAGGTCGCCCCAACTCATACTTCCTCTTCTTGTGGTAGGGCTTCCTCTTGCCCCCAGTCTTGCGGCGCTTATGCCAGTTGTCCCTGGAGATACCTGAATGGAGAGCAGCATGGTCAGAAGATGATGTCAAGGAGCCCACCTGGCCATGGCAGGGCACGGTTCTGAGTCCTCAGCTCTCCAAGGTTGGTATCCGCACAGTGCACTCGGCCTTATGCAGCAGTTAGAGAAGCTTCATCATTGATACTCAGATCCTCCCTCCCAGCAAGGCTGTACAAAGCAGACTAGCTCCACTGTGTCTGATGAATGTCTCCCTTGGAAAGTAGCCTCCAAACCTACCTTGTTTGCTGGGCACCCTATGGGAAGCATCCCATCACAAGCTGCCAGGCACACTATAGCAAACATTCCATGCTATCCACTATGTCTAGCATATCCCTTATGGGAAGCAATCCCCATGCCACCTGTACACTGAGCCCGAACAAAAGATACCCCATCTCAAGCCTGTTTCTACAGGGACTATCTCTCCAGAGGACGCCACCTCCCGGGTCCCCTACAAATCCCTCCCAACTTGTAGAGCCCTTCCCAAGGTCACCCCACACCCCTCCTCTGCTCCCCCTAGGAAGCCACCCCACCTCATCCGCAGGATTCACTGCGGAAGGTGCAGAGAAAGACCTCAGCGCTTAGGACCTGCAGAAATCCAAAGCGAAACCCTCAGCCCGCCTCCCCTCCGCCCCAGTCGCCATGTTGGGCCTAGGCATCCTTCCGCCGCCAGCGGCTCGGTGCCGTCGCGGCAGCTAAAGATGGCGGGCGCTACAGGGTATCGGCACCCCCCGCTGTCACCCGGTAGGGGACAGGGGCGGGCAGCGGCGGCGCGGCGAGCAGATGGCAGCGGATGGCGGCCGGGAGTGACAGCGGCCCCTACTCACCCATGGTGCGGCACCGGCGCAAAGAGGAGGGGCGGTGCTTCCGGGGGCGGTTTGGCGGGGCGAGCTCTCGCGAGGCAGTTGCGTCACGGCGCCGCCAGCGAGGGGAGCGCGCCGTTGCCTAGCGACGAGGCGGCGGTGATGGGGGGGGGCGATGGCGAGGCCCAGTCTCAGCCTATGTCAGTGCTGTGGCACCGGTTGCAACGCGGGATCCAGCCTCAGGACCGGGAGGGACAGAGCGGAGCATGGTCGGGGGCACGACTGCCGCAGGTCCGCCCGTCCTGCCCCTCGGGTCACCTCACGAACGGCTCCGGCCGGGCAGGAGGAGCAGCACCACAGAGTACCCCGGGCAGAGCAGGGGCCGGCGGCTCATCACCATATGGGGCATGGAGTCACAGAATGGTTTGGGTTGGAAGGGACCTTAAAGCTCATCCAGTTCCAACCCCCTGCCATGGGCAGGGACACCTTCCACTAGACCAGGTTGCTCCAAGCCCCATCCAACCTGTCCTTGAACACTGCCAGGGATGGGGCAGCCACAGCTTCCCTGGGCACCCTGTGCCAGCGCCTCAGCCCCCTCACAGGGAAGAACTTCTGCCCAAGAGCTCATCTCAATCTCCCCTCTGCCAGCTCAAAGCCATTCCCTCTTGTCCTGTCACTACATGTCCCCATAAAAAGTCCCTCTCCAGATTTCTTTTAGCCCTCTTTAGTACTGGAAACCTACTCTAAGGTCTCCCTGAAGCCTTCTCCGTGCTGAACAAGCCCAGCTCCCTCAGCCTCTCTCCATAGCAGAGGTGCTCCAGTCCTCCTCTGGGCTCGCTCAAACAGGTCCACATCCTTCCTATACTAATGCCCCAGAGCTGCACACAGTACTCCAGGCGGAGTCTCATGACAGCGGAGTAGAAGGGAAAAATCCCCTCCCTCAATCTGCTGGTCACGCTCCTTTTGATGCAGCCCAGCTCACGGTTGGTTTCTGGGCTGTGAGCTCACACATGCTCATGTTGAGCATCTCCTCCTCCGGAGGGCCGCCCTGAATCCATTCTCCGCCCCATTTCATTACTATTCAGCCCTATTTGCAAACCCAGGGTGCACTGCGGAGCAGCGTCGCGGGCACGGTCGTTCTTTCCGCCCCTCCCGCGGGGCCGTCGCGGTCCGGGAGCGGAACCGAGCCGTGTATGCCGTTGGAGAAGCCCGACACGATCCATAGCGGCGGGGATCGGGCAGGCGTTGCGGAATCGCTGTGTGCTGCAGAGCGACAGCCGGGGGAGGCTCCGTGTGCGCGGTGGGTGGAGGGCATACTCTGGTTTCTCTTCAGATCGTATAAATCTTTCGCCTTTTACTAAAGATTTCCGTGGAGAGGAACAAGCACGAGTGTCGAGGAATTTTTTGAGGCTCCACTTCGGTGGAGCTGACCCTATTCTGGTTAAAGACAGAACAAACGCGTTACACAGTAACTGTGTAATCACAGAGGGAAATGTTACAGTTTCCCAGCCGGTGTCACAGTGAACTGCGGGAAAGCGCACGGGGCGGGCGCTGGTCGAGGAGAGGCTGGCCGATTGTTCCTGTGTACATCGCTTGTCGTGCTTGGGTTTCATTTCACAGTATCACAGTATCACAGTATCACAGTATGTTAGAGATTGGAAGGGACCTCAAAAGATCATCTAGTCCAATCCCCCTGCCGGAGCAGGAACACCTAGATAAGGTTACACAGGAACGTGTCCAGGTGGGTTTTGAATGTCTCCAGAGAAGGAGACTCCACAACCTCCCTGGGCAGCCTGTTCCAGTGTTCTGTCACCCTCACCGAGAAGAAGTTTCTTCTCAAGTTTAAGTGGAACCTCTTGTGTTCCAGTTTGTACCCATATATTCGCTGTACTGTTTTCCTTACAACTGGTTATATCATTCTTAGCTCGTTTGAATTATTGCGCTTACATATCAACCCATGATTTCGCACTTTTACCCTTCCTCTTCTTCCCCTATCCATGCGGGGTGGGTGGGACCAAGCAGGTGGGCGACCGGTTGTGCGGTGGGTGTTCGTACCGGCCGGGGTAACACCTCACGGGGAGACACAGGCTCTCATCGGGCCGCGGACCGGAGGCGGGATCGGGATAGGCGGAGCTGACCTCGGCCCCGTCTGCCTGCCCGCGCAACCGCTTCATTGAACAACCTGGTCTTGTGGATGGTGTCCCTGCTCATGGCAGGGGGCTGGAACTGGATGAGCTTTAGGGTCCCTCGCAACCCAACCCAGTCTGTGAGTCAGGCGCCTCATCAGCACTCCGTTAATTTGCATACCCAGAGCGCACCGCGACAGCGCGGCGCTGCCCGGCGTCGCCGGTGTCCGCTGCTGCGGCCGGTCCGGGCTGGTCGGGTGTGCATGGCTCCGGTGGTCGCAGCGGGGCCACGCCGAGAGCCACAGCTCTGGGAACGGGCAGGTATCGCCCTGACCTATGTGTCGCGGAGCCGGCGGGCGGTGCGGCGGGGGAGAGGAATGGCGCATACTCTGGTTTCTCTTCAGATCGTATAAATCTTTCGCCTTTTACTAAAGATTTCCGTGGAGAGGAACAAGCACGAGTGTCGAGGAATTTTTTGAGGCTCCACTTCGGTGGAGCTGACCCTATTCTGGTTAAAAAAGAGAACTAAAGCGTTTCTACTGATAACCGCAGGGAGCTACCCAGTGCACTCCAGTGCCCCCATACAGCTCCCCGAGTCGCCCGCAGCAGCTCCGCAGCGCAGGATGTATCCCTGGCCCCCCACTTCCCGTAAAACTCTATAGCGGTTGGTGCCTCCTCCAGCCCTACTCGGCACCGGGGCCCGCCGTACCCCAAGCGGCTGCCCGCTAGCGGGGCCGATCGCATAGCATAGCCAATAGCGGCGGCGCGCGTCCCGGGGTACGCCGGGA